CCGAGGTTCAAAGCCGAGCTCCTTCTGTAACACTTTTCTGCTGAACTGCACACGATCCATGAAGAGGTCATCCAAAAGCTCAAAACGTACAGCATTCTTGCGGGATCCAAAGGTTGCCATTTCAAAAACTGCAAAACAAACACTGCTCCCACAAAACAAGAAAACAATCCAACTACTCCACCTACAGGCTGATCAAGGTATCTCCCCTGCCATCTCAGTAGGACAATTGATTAGACGTTGATTAGATGCTGGTTAATGGTTCCCCAATCAACACACAGTCACCTGCCAAAACTTTTTTGCATACCTCAGCTTGCTCTCCATGAGACACAGACATGAGGAGAAGCTTGGGGTTAGATAGCAGGGTCAGCCATTGTACAGCACCCCTGGAGCAGCTGGGGCCCAATGGGGTAGGATTCCTCTGCCAGCCCCTGGATTTTACCTTCCAGCCACAGGTGCAGATCCTTAGCCACAATGTCACCACTCAATTCAAGAAGTTTTGTTGGCATGACCAATAAAAAAATCACTGTTGCCACATCATATATAATCAACATAAGATCTACAGACATTTACAATATAGAGACATCATAATACATTTACATACAAATATATGGAGCATTATTGAGGCCATCTACCACTCTCATCTATCACTCCTAGACTGGGAGAGCACGGATACATTTTGGAAACTGTGGTTCATACCCCGGCTCTCTTTGCTGTATTTGTCTGCTGAACTGCATGTTGTCCATAATAAGACAATCCAGGAGCTCAAAGCACAGTGCATTCCTATGACTTCCAACACCTTTCATTTTCTAAAGCTCTGGGGAAAAATACTACGGCTTGTTGCCAACAGCACCACAGAGAAAGGCACTTCTCCATCAGCTATGTGATCATGGTATCGACCCTCTCAGTGTACAATCATTACCTTTGACAATCTGTTTGCAAGGCAAGGTGTTGTCAGGTCCTGGTGTTCTTTTTATATACTTCTATTTTATTTATTCATACTCTGTCTTGTAACACTATCTCAAAGATGATCTAAAACGATGCCTGATGAGTAGATGAGCACACTGAATTTAACAATGATGTTTTTAGTAGAAGATGAAAGGGCACTTGTGTGCTGGCTTGGTATAACTCATTAATCAGTGGATCTCATCCAGCAGTGTTCCACCTGTCCTTTTAGTTTGTTCCATGCTGCTACCACTCTTTGTGCTTTTCTTTCACGTTAAATTTAATGGAGATCTCCTGAGCTCCCCTCTGTACTTTATTTTGTGTTTAAATGCTTCTGCTGAAGAAATGTATTGCAACAGGCCAAGGGCGGCTTTACATGTGTGAAATTCAGTGATTACACCTGAGAATTAAGTTCCGAATTCATCATCCCACTTAAAAAAAAAAAACAGTTTTGAGAGTATGTCTGAGAGTAAAGCCCAGAGTTACATCTCCCTGTGATCAAATCCCTTTCCAGTAGTGATCTTAACTAGAAGTGATATAAATTGCTTATTTTTTCTCTAAGCCTAGTCCTAACTTAGTCCAACTTAGTTGGTTTGTTGGACACAGACAGTCCGAGCTCTGTGGATATTTGGATACTTCCTTAGGCACACGGATCAGCAATCTTCACCTGTGAATTCTAATGTATGGCATTGTTCCAAGTTAAATGAACCAGTGCCTGTACCAATCATGGCCTCCTAATAACCCCCATCTATGAACTGGCTTCATCTCTGTTCTCTTCCACAAGAGCTCCTGTGTGGTGAGTGTACTGTGAGTGCAGTATGGGCTGCTGTCGCATCATCCCATCAATCAGTCTGTATAAACCTATGCACATTTTGCACATATTTTATTGCTTTTACAGTGACTATGATCATCACATTTTGCACACACCTATGTATTTATTTTTTATTTTGTTGTCTTTTGTTTTATAACTATTCTTAAGTCTGTTTTTGCTTGTCTTAGGCTGGACTGCTGTAACACATCAATTTCCCTACGGGATTAATAAAGTATTATCTATCTATCATCCAGGTGGGGCTGCACACTGGTGGTGGAGGAGAGTCCCCATTACCTGTAAAGCACTTTGAGTGGAGTGTCCAGAAAAGCGCTATATAAGTATAAGGAATTATTATGATTTCCATTTTTAATATGTCCTGTTTAACAGAATATCGTTTAAAAAAAATTCACAAAAGGCACTAAAACTGAAACGAGAGTGACCACAAAATCCTCTGCCCACAATTTTGTTTGATGTGGTTCTAATCACGTTTTCCCGTTTTGTTTTAGGTTCTGCTGGTATCATTACAGTAGACCAGACACCCTCTGTTTTTTTTTTTTTGCCGGAGGAGAGGAAACTACCACTGCCAGTGTAAAAGTGTTACTGATCACAGAGACATGGAGATGTATCAGATGAAACCAGCCCTCGTTTTATAATTCGGCTTCACTTTTCCCGGGATGAAACTCGGTTTGGTGGCAGTAACACTAATGCTGACCACACATTCACGGAAAAAAAAACCTTTAGCGCTGCTCAGGACACGTGCATCGTACATTTGCACTGTCGACATATATACACTTCTGTCAATCAATGGCACAACGAATTCAGAGACTGATTATATGTCATCAACAAGCTCAGAAAAACACAGCTTCCGCTGACACAATCCTCCTCTTTAACTAGTAACGCAGCGCTCGAGCTCGTCGTTTCTCCATCCTATTGGGTTATTCGGCAATCAATCATGGTGACGTACCCTTATCTCGTAGCTCCGTCTGTCCTCAGTCGCCATTGGCTGGTTTGTCTTAAAAAACCACCCATTTGCTGACGTGCTTCCTTTCCCGATTGGCTGCTGGTCTCGGTTTAAATTTAAAATGTACTGGGCGGTTTGCAGCGCTTGAACGTCAGGTACGGACTTGAGTGTGAAGAAAGCTGTTCGCGTTTGATGCTGTTTTACTCGTCGTTCGAGGTACGTATGAGTTTGTGCCGGGCTTTAGAAGTAATTGTTGCATGTTTCGGCGCTTTTTATTTTTGATGGAAATCGTCTCTGGGCAGACAGCGGGGTTACGGGGAGAATCGCAGCTTTCTTGGTAGTTGTGTTTTGGATTTTGCGCCTGTAAGGGAAAACGGAAAATTATCTGTCGGCCAGGTTTCACCGGGTAAGCCGCAGTACGTCTTCACTTTCGAGCTGCTTTATTCGTGATGGGACGGATGAATTGCGGCGTTGCTGTGATGCGGGTCAGCCGAAAGACAGTTCATGTGTGCGGGTGTGAGGCCGTGTTCACTCGCGGCTGCCTGCTTCAATGGCTGGATAAGTCATGATCGTGTCATTAAGTGTTGCTAAATCACTGAACGCAACGCCGAACTGCATGCCTGTTTGTGACAATCAGACTTCTTGGAGGAAAGCTGTCACCTGGGTGAGTTTTTAGAAATTGCCAGTTACGTGTGAATCTCTCTTTAGTCTGTCGAAGCCCGTTTTTCAAGTTTAAGACGCGGTCTATCGCCTGAACCCACAGTACAGGCGATAACGTCTTTGTTGCTCATCTTTGCTAATGATCGATGAGGATGTAATAAAATCAGATGATCGCTGCATCCTTTCGGCTCAGTTCCGGGAAACGTGCATGGAACTTGCTTTCTTGTCCTCACATGTTTAAACGGGGCTGGGAGGTCCTCTCTATGCGGTGACGTAATCTTGCGAAGTACAGACTGTCGGTGAGAGAGAGATAATTCGTCTTTCTTTTTATGTCGTGAATGGGTTTTATGCCTGTGCTATTTGAATTCAACCACAGGTCCTAGAGTTGGACTTTTATCGTTTCTGGCTTCTGATAGCCCCTCCCGCAAGATAACATCTTTGTGTTTAAAATGGTAAATCTTCAGACACGATAGGGACACGTTCTTTGTCACCTACAATAAAAGAGCCAAGTGAAAAATCAGTGCTTTCCAGTATGGTCACATGGGCTGTATCTCAAGGTTTCTGGAACATGTCATTCCGCCCCTGCTTGGGAGTCTTGTTTTTTGTTCTGGTCTTGTGATGACACTGCCATAATGAAATTCATTGTTTTGGTTGGACTACAGGACTGGAAGCTGCTGTGTTTCAGCCTGTGTTGCTGTGTGTGGCCAGTGGTTTTATAGTCATGGAATGCACTGTTTCCTAAACATCAGTAAATAAGTTGAGCATTTACACAATGTTTAGTACATACTAGATTAGTTCTGCAGTGGTTGCCTTCAAAGAGGTTTAAGGATTTATATCTTTTCACAAGAAATCTGGGAAACTGTTTTTTGCTCTGTCACACATTTAGTGAGGTCAAACTGCATGTGATTCTTTTTAAAAAAATCCCAAATTCTTAATTCAGTATGGAAAATGACACCCGGCACTCTACTCCTGACTTGTATGTAGTTTTTGTTTTAAAATTCAAACATATACTGTACATAATCCAGTTAATGAGGGCTGAAAACAATGAGTGGACCGAATCATGTCCACTGTGTAGTAACTAAAGGTACAGTGAATTTGTGCTGAAGGTGAGTGATATAGTGGATATGAAGTGGTATTGACAGTGGAGTCATGCTGAGTGTGCTTTTCCAAATTGGTCTCCACTGTTATCTGCCAGCCCAGCTGTGGAGCTGGCACTCTGGGCGTGGCCTGTCACTCACACTGGCTGTCTGCTCGCAGGATGAGTGTGGTTGCCGTGAACGATGAAAACTTTGGCGTGGATCCTGCACGAAGCTGCATCAGTTTGGAGACTTGCGATATCCTGCAGCCCACAGGAAGACCCTCCATCTTGCGCCAGTCCCAAAAGGAAAACATGCCTCCTAAAAGCTTGGCAAAGGGAGTGAAGGTATAGAACTTCTGAACTGTGTAAAACGCAATCCTCTTTCCAAATGAGCTCCGTTGGATCTTTTTAATTACGCCCTTGAACACCTGTGTTGGAGAAGATGGGTACAGTTGCCACGTCTCCCTTTTGTTTCAGGTCTGTTTTCAGACGCCCTTGCGAGACCCTGTGACGCGCAAGATTGTCTCGTCAAACAAGGGAAGCCAGGTGGAGCGTGCTGATGGTCTGGATGACTGCACCAAGGCTATGGAAACTCTTTCCCTGGAAAACCACCCTGCTGCCATCACAGGGTGAGCTGCTGATGTGGGTTTGCGTTTGGTAGAACAGGAATCCACCAGTATTCTTACTCTTTATACCTGCTGCCACTGTTCTTTTTTCTGTGCTTCCTGAGGGGAGAGGAAGGGATAGGCAAAGGTGTTCTTGCCCAAGAGCTGTGCCCTAGAGTACTGTGTATGAGAGGTCACAAAGGAAGAGTCTGGCAAATGTTGAGTTTACCTGGACTTTTTGTGACCAAGCCTACTGAAATAGGACACTCTTTTGAGCTCTCAATACTTATTTTAGAGTGACTACAACTTCTACAGTCTTAATTCTTCATTTTACTGTGCTTTTTAGGTTTATTTTCTGAGCAAAGATTTTGGGACCAGGAGTCCTTTCCCTTTTGCCTTACTTTGCAGGAGTCTCCTGCTTGTTTTGAAGTCTGAAATATTTTGCAGAAAAATTACAAAGTCAGCATTGCATCTTACTTCTTGGGTAAAATTGTAATGTTGTATGTTTTAAACCACTTTAATTTCAAGGTCTTTCAAGGTTAAGACTTTACATGTTTGGATATGCCTATTTAACTGCATGACATTTAGGTCAGTGTTCTTGAATGTCAATACCTTAATACCTTTATATACCAGAAGTGGTGAATTTGACCTATTAGCATTTTAATGATTTTTTAAGACCAGTTGCTAGGCTTATCCATCTGGCTGTAACAAAAGGAGAACTGATGATTGTGGCAGAGGAGGAGCTGAGGAAAGGCCAGGATTTGTTGTGAGCATTTTGCTTGAGGAAGCAACAGTGTGTGTTTAGAAGTAAATGAAACATTTTTCCAAGAGGTTGAGACCTGTGTAAACTTGGTTATAAGAATAATTGCTGTTTTGGTGTGTGACATGGGCTTTATGGAGTGAGGCCTTTGTTGGAGGTGGTAAAATTAGTCTAAAATTCGCATCTGATATCTCATGAGCAGGCATTTTTAATGTTTTCTACATACTTTGTTGTGTGAGCTCTGGATAGTGAGTATTTTTCACTGTTTACTGGCGGTGAGTATCTCCATATAGAAATTGAATCTGAGTAAAATTAGCCATTGTTAAGTAATATGAGGCTTGCTTGAGTTTTTTTTCAGATCAGTTTTGTTTCCTTCAGGACAACTTCAGATTGGTTATTGGAGGCAGTCTTGAGAAATTTTGTCCTTCCTTGTTGAGCCATGCATCCTTAATTCTGTTCCCAGACCACCACCAGTGGTCCACAGACACTTTGAGAACCACTGTAATAGAACACTAAGCAAAATGTTATAATATAAAATAATAGAGTAATAGCAAATTAATAAGTGAATCAGCACATGGAGACTGAGCAGCTGGATCTTGAATGCTGTCCATGTGCAATGCAAATGACCAAGGGTTTTTCAAACGGCTGATGGCATTTTTTCCCCCAATTTCTTTTGCTTACAGTGCTTCATGTTTGGAATCCAAAGAAGTGGCTTCATTTGATGAACCCATGTCAGGTAATATGAAAACATCACAGTTTTATGGAAAGACTGTGTTTTCCTTAATTTCTCATTTTGTTTTGGCCATCAATGAACTTTATTTCATATGGCACCTTTTAATATGCTTCTAAATTCTAATCTCTCTGCCTTTTTTTTCTTTTTCAATGTAGATGGAAATGGATTCAACATGACTGATGTTCATTTTCCCGATGATGGGATAAGAATTGAAAGCAAAGGAGAATACAGTATTGATTTTGACCATCTTGATGCAATTAATCCTTTTAAAAGCTCAAGTCAGGTTGGGAATTCCCCAGTTAAGGCTATGAATACAGTGGAAACCCCAGCTCAGATGGCAGTCAGTCCAGAGAGGGGTGTTTCAGAGATCACCTCTGCGGATGACTCCATGTCAACCACACTTCCAATTTCTCTATCAATGGATAATTCGGATGCTGGACTGAAGACCGAAGTGGTTAACAGCCCTGTTGTAATTAAAGCAAGGGATGCGTCCAGTTTTGATATACCAGAAGATGCCAAAAATGAGTCGGATGATATTGTACTCAAGGCAGATGACATTCTGGACAACTTGGACCGCACTGCCCCTCTTTCATCTTCACTGACTCTACAGAACTCCCCACTCCCAGCTAAAGGCTCCTATGCTGTTGATTTCGATAGTCTGGATTCCATCAATCCTTTCAAGACTGGAGGCTCAAAGCTCCAAAACTCTCCTGTCTGTGGATTGAGCCAGCCCAGTACCACTTCCGCACTTACTACAGAGGTGCCTCAGAGGCTGGATTTGAACCAGTCTGCTGCAGAACCTCTGAAGTGTGGACTGGCTGAGGATGTCTTGGAGTTGGGTTTGATCCCAGACTCGTTCAGTAAAGAAGGTGCCAAGCCACCATTGCAAGAAACCCCTGGGCCTGAGGTCAGCACCACCGTCCCCACAACCTCTTTAATAAAGGATGACCCTCCTAGAAGTGATGCTGACAAGCCAACTGCTAACGCTCCTCCACAGCTGAAGGATGGACCAGTGAAGCTGGAGTTTAACTTTGACGACGGACAGGCCAAGTGTAAGCCGCCTCCGAAGAAGTTGGGGAAGAGGCCAGCTGGTGCCAAGGCCGTGCTGAAAAACGCAGTTGCAGCAGATGGAAAACGCACCCAGACCAAACCCTTACCAGAAGACACCAAGCCTGCTGAAGCTGACATTCCCATTCCTAAAGCATCCTACAACTTTGATTTCGATACGTTCGATGATCCCAGTTTTAACCCCTTTGGGATGGGTTCAAAAATCGGTAATTCTCCAGAACGTCCATCCAAGTTGGACAGTAGTTGTGAGGTTGGCATGGTGCAAGAGACTGCTTCCGAGGCTGCAGTTTCCCAGCCGACCGTGCCGGAGGAAAAGCCTGGAGAAGACGAAGTTGGTGGTTCCAGAGGGACTCTATCATTGTATGTATCCGTTTCCTAAACTCTTATACTGGATTGGACCCTTTAACCTTGGGTTATGAATATTAAGCTATGTATTTTAATTTGGGACACAAGTTAGTCTCTTTGCATCTAGCTTCCATATGTCCAGTAGTACAGGCTTGTTTAACAAACTTAACACTGCTATTCAGACATTTGTGATTCCTAGTTTAAACAGTTAATGCATTTGAATTTGTCATTAGGTCGAGGTCTTTAAAAATCTGATGCATGATCATTTAGCACATTTTTCTTGTCTTAAAAGATTTAAGTATATGTACTTCTCTGAACTAATTCCAGAGCAGAAATATCGATTTTTGAGACCCTTTTTTTAGCATGCCTATATTTAAGTGTTGAAAAGCAGTGGTGCATGATGATTCATCTTGTAAAAGCAGTCATTTGTCTTGAGAGTACAAAAGTCACTCCTGCCAGGAGTATTACAGTACACTGACTTGAGTTTTTTTTTAATTTGAGGTTCTTAAATTGTTTAGAACAATACAAAACATGCTCATCTTATGTTGTGATCGCTTGGATTGAATTGTTCTCAATTTAGTTTTAAAAATCGGCAGGTAAGCATGTTATCTAGATTCCAACAATGGAATAAATGTAATTATTTCGCATAGAAACTAGCCGATTTGAATTGAAAAGTTTCAGTTTTTTTATCCTTATTTTTCCCCCCCTAGGACTGAGGTGAAATCTACTGTTATTCAGGACTCTTCAACAAACAAAGTAAGAATTGGGTATTTTGTAACTTACTGTGCTTAGCAAATTGACTGTACATTGCTTTAAATTATAGCCTACATAAGGCTCAAGACCTGATGCTACCAAATCGTCGACACTTTCTGCTACCTTCCTTGGCTCTTGGGATCAGAGAGCTGCAGAATGAGCCGTGTATTGTGTACTGCTTGAATTCAAGTGTTTGACCTTGCAGTGGTCCCTCGTGATCAATTTTTAAAGCCCGTTTCAGTTTAAATGCCTAAGTTTCAGTTCCAACATGTGTGAAATTCTTAGTTATTAGTAATTCATTGCACAAAACTAAATTAGTTGCTTGTTCTGTTGTAAAAGAGGTATTATTGATGTAATGTTGTATCTGCAGTGAAGACAATGGGGACCCTATAGAACTTGCAAAAATGAATTTTGTTGTGGAAAGATTAGATTCTTAGGGATATTTTTTATTTCCAGACCGAGACTTTTGAACTGTGCGATAATGGTGGCAGTGCCAAAGAGAGAGAGCCTATAGCCATTTTTGAGAATCTGGCCGAAGAGTGTCCTAGAAGCCTGACGGAATCGGCGCAGAATGCAACAAATACCATCACGTCAAATTCGGAGTTGGCATGCAATGAGATATTTATGTCGGGGACAGAATGTAAGACTTTTTTAGATAACTCTTATTGGATTTGTAAGACTATTCCAACTACAGTTGCAGAATTTAGCAAATAATTTAGTTCCATAATTTGTTTACTTTAATTTTTATATTAAGATGCAGTTGAATATTTAGTGATGTGTTAAGCTTAAACCCCAGTTTTGCTGTATTTTCAGCCTAATATATTGTTAATATAGATAATAGAAATATGATGCAGGCGTTGCATGGATATTATAAGGTCCATACTTAATTAAAACATTTTCTTTTCCAGTTCTTTCTGGAGGATTTGATGACCCAATTGATTATCTGGAGCAATTTGGGTCATCTACAGTAAGTATGTTCACTGGAGAACAGATTTTAAATTGTGGGTAGACTGTTCTTAGTGTGCTCACAATTAGTGTTTATAAGGCTTGCCTTCATTACTTGCAAAACTGAAGTTCATATCAAGGAAAGACTTCAACATTGGACTTTACATGAATTAACCTTTTGGTGTGCCCAAATTAGCCGAGTTATAATACTTGAACATGCAGAAAAGTGGGTGCAATTAACTTATTATTTTTTGTAGAGTCCACTTTTGTTTTTTTCCATCTCGGGTCTAAAATCTCAGAATCGGAATGTGTTGAAAACAAATTTTGTTTGCTTTTTCTAATACGCTAGTGACAGGATATTTTAAATGCACAAACCTTTTGTGGTTTTTGCCTTGCATTACACTGGTAATTCAGGTGCTGAAATGGTAAAAGTTTGAAAATTGAAACACTAGTTAATGACTGTGGTGATATGCATCAATATTTTATTGTGATTTTTTTTTTTCCCCATTCAGTTCAAAGAATCAGCCTTGAGGAAGCAGTCGCTGTACATGAAGTTTGACCCTTTGCTCAGAGAGAGCCCCCAGAAATCTGCTCCCCGATATGCAGAAATGAGCGGAGTTCAACTCCCACTTCCTCTTGCGTCTCGGTACGGATCTTCCTGTTTGAAGCACAAACAGCTTAAATGGGTGATCTGTGCTCAATAAGCAAGCAAAAGTCTTTTCGTCTCTATTCAAATGTCTTCAATGTCAAGATCCAAAACAAGGCTGTTGAGGAATTCTTTGCATTCTTTTACACCTACTCAGTGGATTAAAGCAGTGTTTGGATTGCAGGATGGAGGCACTTAAGGCTGGAGCTGAGAGCATGCAGAAGACTGAAGACAAGCACGGAGGACTCAGCTTTCTTGAAAGCTTCCCAACAGCAGTAAGTGTTCTTGAACATTCAGATGCTCATCTTTCTTAGGACAAATTTAGTTCTGTCCCAGAATGAGCTATGGGAAATAAGCTGCAGGAAAACCTGAGTTAGTGGATAACGTAAAGTGTGATTACATTTTGGCTGCCTTGACTTGTGGCTTCTTGCATGTTTTTTTTCTGCTTCAGTAGGGTACTTAAATACCCTTTCTGGCAAAAGAACAGCAGTGATGTTGCAGTATGGCTGTGTATTCATGTGTGAAGCACAGTTACATCGTTTCCTTGGCTCGTGATCTGCATTATTTAATTTGGGAGTTCTGATCTCATAAAGTACTTTTTTGACAGAGTGTAGACCTGTAAGAACTCATCTGCTTCAAGTATCTGGTGAAAGTTTAGCTTTGTCAGTGGCAAGCTTGTGAACGAATCTTACACTATCTGATCTCTTCAGGTTGTGAATGTTTTCTCCCACTAAGGCTGACTCTCTAGCAGCCTTGTGCAATCTAAATGTTTCTGCAAGTGCTCATAGTAAAGTTGCAGTAACTGAACTGTCTGAAGTATCTGGTTTACAAAATGCACTCAGTCTTACTACACAGTCATGTTCTTGCTGTTATGTCTGTAACTAGAGGTCTTAAACTGCCAGTAACAAGTTTTTTTTTTAATGTCAAGTTTTTAAATGGAAAGTCTAAAGACAATGGGTATGGCAAGCCCTAGTTCTTCAGTGTAGAAGTTTAGGTTGTAGATTGTAAATGTAATTTTTTTTTTTTAGCTTGAACAATGCTGCAAAGTGAGTGCATTAGAAAGAAAGGTAATTGTACCAATGTAGTTCAGGTGGGGAGCTGCGTCGGCATGTGTAGGCTGCAAAGGAACAAGCAATAGGTTTATTCCCTGCTGAAGAAGGCTCCAAGGCCAAAATATTGTGTTTTCTTCCTTCTCTTTTCAGCATGGAATAAACTTGTTCCTTTGTACCAATGTGATCGTTTTAGTCATGGTTTTCAGACAGTTGGCACTTCTGTTTGATTTGAAACTTTTCTGGCAGTTGACCAGTGTTGGTTATAAAGGTGATTTTTATTTAGTTCTATGGTTTTTCTTTCTAGGAAGCAGATCTGCTGGCACCCACAGGCCCCAGTGCCTTAGGTTCTTTAGTTCCCGATTTCCCTCTTCCAGGAGCTGGTGAAGATGCCATTTTTGATGTTCTGAAATACAGCCAGAAAGACATGGATGCTGCCATTGAGAGAGTCCGCCTGGAGGTAGAAGTCTTTTGGTCGCATTGAAATGTAAAAGTCACGCCCCATCTCGGCAGATTTCTTCTTATGGAGAATGAGCCTTCCTCCAAATGGACACAACTAAACCAAGTAACTCAATCCTGAGTGGGCTGTTGTGCAATAGCTCAAGTACAACACCACTCCCCTCCCACCTTAAAATGTAACCTAATTTTTATACATCAGAATTTATAAATTCAATATTTTTATTTAATTTTATGTAGTACTTTAACATGGGTGTAGCTTGTGGGTTTTGTATCTTTCTGGTTCAGGACTTAAGCCCTTTCATCTCTCTTCAAGTTACGTGTAGTGATAAGGCTGGCTTCACAACAAAGTCTTGCGATCAGCATGTGCCTTTTTGAAAGGTGTTTTTGTTTTCTGGGCGTTTGTGCCTGGCTTATTCAGTAAGTCTTTTGAATAAATTAGAATCTGTAGATACTGGATTGATAAAGGTTAATTCCATGCTGAAAATACATGTTAGTGAAGCTGTTTTTTTACTTTTTAGTGTGAAGTTAACCTTTTAGTTTTTTCCTTTTAGTTGATTCACAAGCTAAAATTCTTGCATTTTATATACTCTGTATACAGACACTTGTTTTATTTTCTTATTTCTACCTAAAGTAAAGAAATGTATCAAAGCTTAATTTTATGCCATTAGAGTATTGCACAGATAAGTCTCATTTACTTTACCAGCACCCAGCTTGCCAATCCAGCATCATTTGTTTGGTTTTGGATGAATTTAGTGAAACCACATAGACTGCTACATAGAAGGATGAAAGTAAGGATATCCACTTTCTCTTTAAGGTGAAGGACAAAGAGTGTGAAATTGCAGAATGGCAGGACAAATATGAAAAATTACGTATAGATTACCAAGAAATGGGGTATGTATGTTCTGTAATATTACTAAATGTTGTAAATATTTTAAAACCTCCATAAACTGAAGTCTTTTGTTTTTGTTTAGGAAAATCGTGTCTGGTTTTGAAGCAACAGTAGCTCAAATTATGGGTAAGTTCAGTTTTTTTATTTACTATTTAAAGTTAACACTCTAAAGCAGGAGTGCATAACATGGCCCTTCAGTGAATTTAATTTGGCCTGTGGTTTTTTGTGAAAAGCTGATTAAGATCCACCAGCTGAAGGGTTTTTAGAATATATTGAATAAACTGTACTACACTGCCCTCTACTGGAAATTTGCGTTCACTATAAACTGTTCAAGGCTAGGGGCTTAGACACCTTTTACCAACAACTGTTTGAAACAGTTGAACATGTTTCTTAATTTGAAGAGTAACTTCAAAGAATAACCTGTGTTGATTTCTGTGTTTTGTTTCCAGATGAAGGCCAGAAGCAGAAGGAAGCTGCTAGTTTAGAAATCGAGAAGGCCCTTCAGGAGAAACAGCAGGTCCTTCTGGACTTGAACTCAATGGAAAAGTCTTTCTCCGACCTCTTTAAGAGGTTTGAGAAGCAGAAAGTAGTGATTGAAGGCTACAGAAAAGTGAGTTGGAAACCTTCTTGATAAAATAAGTGGGGGAAAAACAAGAGGGGTTTCTTCATAAACAGTTCTTCGTGGTTTAAGGTATTATGAAATCTTGGTGTTTAACTCGTAAGGATTTTCTTGTGAAGTCATCCTAAATATCACTTTAGTAATTTACGGATTGTGATTGATTTGGTATGTGCTGACCATTTTGTTTTGTATCAGTTCTTCCTCACAAGAAAATGACAGCTTTTATGTAATATTTGCCGCATACAAGTCGGCATACACAACGGTTGTTCTTAATATAGTCTTTGATGAGTAATGGAAATGGAACAAAAGGATTTAATGACATCTGAAATGTCTTGATGCTTTCAGAATGAAGAAACGCTGAAGAAATGTGCTCAGGACTACTTGGCAAGAATCAAAAAGGAAGAGCAAAGATATCAGACACTCAAGGCACATGCTGAGGAGAAGATAGGCCTGTAAGTGTTCCTAGGTTCTAATTCTATGGGGATTCTTACACAAATTGCTTCAAAACTGCAGTAAACTTCCTCACTTCATAGGTATTCTGGCCCTCTTAATCAGCCTTGAGTTGAGTGGTCTTAATTTGACATTCATTTAGCAGTTTTGTGACAAAAGTAACTAACACCACCCTTCTGTTCAGCAGAAAGACCACTGGGGTTAGAAACCAAATGAAACATTTCATGAAGTAGTAATGCACCATAAATGTTTTATGTGCTCAATGAAGAAGTATCCCGAACAGATGTTTCTGCTTGGTTTTAGTGCCAATGAAGAGATTGCCCAAGTGAGATTAAAGCTGAAGGCGGAAACGGCAGCTTTGCAGGCACAGCTGCGCCGGGAACAGGTGAAAATCCAGTCGTTGGAGAGAAGCCTCGAACAAAAGGTACATCGATCGAAGTTGACTAGTCTGGAACTTCTACCTGCTCAGAGCAAGGTTACCAGGAACATGGGAAAGTGGATATCATCTTTTATCCCTGTACTAGCGTTAAACCTTCAGTCTTAATTGAGGCAAATGAGTTTTGATGTGCATGACTTATTTGGACTGTAAGAGTCTCAGTGGGCTGTTAATTGAGAGGGCAGTAGAAACTTTCTATAACCTAATGTCTAGTCAATGAGCCACACCTTTTTTTTTTAAACAGCTGAAGGCATTCAGTTCTTTTCATGGGTACTTTAAAAATATTGATTTGCAGTGTTTAAAATTAGCAAGAATTGAGATTATTATACATCTGTCAAAAATGAGAATGCCAATTAATCTGAATGTTATCTCCTAGTACTTCTTGACATTGATTAGTGTCATAAAGGTTGACAGAACCCAAGATGCGACAATGCCGGCAGTCTCTCACCAGAGATGCAGGAGTGTGATGTACATGTTGTTTTAGTGGATACTCTGACCTTCTTGGCTAAATTGCTAAAAACTTAACATTTTTCCAAATTTATAGAGCAATATCTTGTCAAAATAGCCCCAGAGAGAGTTTTGGTACTGATTTAGTTGACAGTTGTGTAGATTAGAGGTTGTATTGTCTAAATGGAAATGTGTACTGTCTGGTCAATCACTTGTTCCAGTATGTGAGTAAACAGAAACCAAGTGCACTTGGCTTCAGGAGCTGCTTTTGATCTCAAACTGCCTCAGTGTTGTCCTGCCCACTCCACATAGTACCTTAATGCCATGGTTGATGAGACATCATTTAGATTTGACGCCGATTGTGTAGTAGGACTCATCCCTATCCTCCCAAGTCTGTCACACTATGGGTTGACAAGCAGTAGTGCCACATTCACCTTCATGCACGGTTTTAAACCTTTTAGCATTACATGTTATGACCCTGATCTAATGTTGCTTGATGTATCTGTGGTCATCGCCTCTATAAGACTTTTTGAAGCTTAGGAAAATGTAAGATAAAGAACTAGACATTTCTGGAAAGATGAGGACTTTTTGCTTGAAGAATCACTTTGACAATCTGAGAATTTGCAACTGATTAGTGCCAATAAAAATATCAATATTAAATGTTTTATTAATCTTTATATTATCTCTTAATAAATCTATCCTTCCCAATGAATTCTCCAGTTAGTGCTGGATATCCCATGTGTGCATTAATAGTCATGTTTGCTTTTAAAAATATTTACAATTGTATATTTTTTCTTTCACAGGAAAAAGAGAATGAGGAACTCACCAAGCTTTGTGATGAACTCATAGTGAATGTGCAAAAAACCTGAGATTATTAACATGATTTATTTGTTCTGTTTTCTTTGTCTGATCTATTGGTTTTTATAAATGTTGTAGATAATTCTTTGTTCATAGAAATAAAGCAACAATGCAGGATCCGCTGACTTACTGCTAATGAGTGTTGTGTTACTCAGATATTAAACCTGTGGGTCTCTGTAATTTAAAGCAATTTTTTAAACCTCCATTTTCTTCCTGCATCTAATTACTTTCGTTTTGCATGTAAGAACATAAAGATTCAAGAGAATGTTATTCATCTAGCTAGTTTGGTTACTAGTAAGCACTTGATCCAAAGATCTAATCTTGCCATTTCCTGAAGAAAGCCAGTTACAGGTTTTGACAGCACAGTTGCTTATTCCATATTTCCACAGCGCTTTGTTTAAAGAAGTGCCTTCTGTTCTTGGTTTGAAATACTTTCTCTTGCTTTCTGTGTGCATTTAAGTTTGTGTTCATTCGAGTCCAACTCTTTGTGACTTTAGTGTGCCAGGCCTGTCTGTCAACACCTGCTTCTCTGAGCTCTTGCAAACTCAAATTCATTACTCCAGTAGTACTGTCTTTCCTCTTAACCTCTGCTGTCCCTTCTTTTCCCTTCAGTCTTTCCTAACATCAACCGTCTCCAGTGAATCCTGTCTTTGCATTATATGGCCAAAGTATATGAGTTCGTTTTACTGTCAATCCTTCCAATGAACGGTCTGTTTATTTCCTTGAGTATTGACTGATTTGATTAGATTAGACTAAGGATCTCTCAAATTTCTCCAACAGTTCAAAAGCATTGATTTTATGACGCACATCCTTCCTTATAGTCCAACTCTCACATCCAAAAGTTACTACAGGGAAGACCACAGCTTTCACTATTTACTTTTACTTTGTTGACAATGTAATATCTTTGCACTTTAATACTGTATGTTATTCAGATTTGCCATAGCTTTCCTCCCTAGAAGCAAGCGTCTTTTGATTTAATGACTACAATCGCCATCTGCCGAGGTTCTTGAGCCCAAGAAAATAAAATCTGTCACTACCTCCACTTCTCCATATGTTTGCAAAGGATTAATATGGCCCGTTGACATTTGTTTTTTTTGTTACCAATATTCTAAAATGAAGCCTTTGTCCACACTCCAGGCCTAAGTAATTGTTTTTGTAATTGGCTTGTTTTATCTCTGACTGAATGAGTTTGCTCATAGTCAATTTATTTTCAAATGGCAGCTGGTGCTCACCCATCTACCAGTTTTCAATGAACAGATTGCTTTTTAATTTTTTTCCATGTGTTCTTAGTATACATAAGATTCACTCAGTCTATCACCTGTGCTTTTACCTTTGGCTAGCTAAACTATCCCTGCAATGTTGGGTGTTATACAAGTTTTCAGTGCAATATGGTGAGGCTTGAGTATGTACTTTGCAGTGGTCTTTCTGGAGCCTAATGACTTTCTTGTGTTAATATTAGTAATGATAAAGAATAAAGGACCATTCTGTTAATTTCTATGCTGAGAAATAAGTGTTTTTACACTTGAGCTGTCTTTAAGAATTTCCACTGTATATAAATGACAAGCCATATGAGGCAGATGGTTTGGGTCAAAAACTGCATTTTATTCTGAAGCAGGGAATACATACTGTATGGCGTTGAATAGAGATCCTTAGTCATATTATCCAGGAAAGTAATAGTACTATTGTGATGTGCACCTGGTTTAGCCCCCTAGCCCTCAAAATATTTGTAAAATTAAGTGCATTGAAGTGTTCAGGCATTGTACCATAACTAAACATTGTGTAGATGCAGACATGCTGTCCAGAGCTTCACACATCAAACTTAAAAATAAAGAGTAAAAGGTTCAAAGTTGAGTGGCTGTTGTAGGCATTTGACCCAATATAAAATAGGCTAATATTGGCCAACCTGAAGAATGGTGACAGCCGGATACCCTCTGTATCGAAACACTTAAATGAAAAAAAAAAATTGTGAGACTTATGAAAAACCTTTGCAATGTAGACTAGACATTTCCATTTTGAACACTTCCAAAAAGGCTGCAGCTTTTCACCTCTATAGCCTGACCTTGTTGCGTCTCTGAAGCCACGCAGGGCTGGTTATGGTCAGAACAGGGGTGGAAGACCTCCAGGGAAAAGCAGGCAGGTGCTGGAGGGCCGTGAGGTGATATTCTTCCAGAATTTGCAGATGTCTGCTGCAGTATAGTGACTGCGGGGGCTGTCCTGTAGGCCTTACTGTGGATTAAATATAAAACCATGAGGGTGTAGGTCCAGTTGTATTACCGTCTTCTGTTCCCTTCTTCCAATTCAGGGGCGTGGGGGAGCTGGAGCCCTGGCAAGCAACAGGCTCAAGCCAGGGCAGGCCCTGGGCGGGATGCCCATCCTCCGCAGGGCAGACAAACGCCCACATCCAGGGCCAATTTTCCCTGTTTTAGCCAATTAATCTGCCAGTATGTTTTTGGACTGTGTGGGGCAACTTAAGCATCCCATTACCTAATTGAACTCTGTTTGGTTGTCTAAATTCAGTTAGATGATTCTTGCTAAGGTGGAAATTGGAAGAGACCTGCTGTTCAGCAGCCTGTGTTAAATCAAGGTTTGACTTGATAGTCATTAAAAATCCCATGACACTTTTTGGAAGCAGATGAATCCAAGGGTTATTAGCTAAACCCCTTTTCCTGGCTAATTTCCCACCTCGGTTTCACGGGCAAAGCGTTTACTCTTTTCCAACAGCCGTGTGGTAGGGCTGCTGGCGCAGATTAGCTGCTGTGTTGCTCAGGTAGGCCCTGGTGCTGCACCTTGGTGTTGGAGGAAGTGGGTCCTCTTCTGTCCTGCCGCCTTTGGGATGTCAATGGCAATATGTAGTACCCTCCGGGTTTATCCATATATATTTGCATATTCCTTTAGTGTCATTTGCATAGGAGTGAGGGGACATTGGTTGTTTAGTGTACAATGTTTCTAGAGTCACCTAAAACAAATTAGGGCACTATATTAAATTATAGGTTGTGTGTGTCTTGTGATGGACTGTTGTTTCCTGCTGGTTGTAGTCTTGCTTGTGCTTTATGCTTTCAATCCTGGACTCATAAGTCACAACATTCAACCTTTACAGGAATAAATGGCTACTGATCAGAATAGGATTTGTTGAAATACAGCAATGTTTCAGTCAAATGTTTACAGTCCCATTGCTTTTACCATGGAGGGGGTGTGACTCCATCTGATTTAGTATCATGTGCAAAGTTAAGTAGTTTACTGGTGTAATTATATATATATAATATATAATATGATTTGAATTCTGAAAGCACATTTTTTTTGCCACATGGTGGCAGTAGATGACAAGTCATCACAACCAGCTATCTTGTTCAAAATGCAAAGGTGTTACACAAAATACCTTTCAGGTAGAAAAAAGGCTTCTTCCTTTGTTCTTCAGATGTACATATCGTCCTGTCACTCCTTGAACGAAAAGGTTTTTGGTTCCCTACGTTAGGTTAAACAGAGGGTTTATTGTCATTGACATGACAGAGGGTGCAACTTCTGTTAAAATTGTTTAGAAATAAGAGTTCAGAAATGTGCTCATACGGGACAGAAAGGAAGGCAAGACCAAATTATTAACCTGGTATTTGTACTGGTATGAAGGTAGAATCACAATTTCCACTGCCTGGCCGGTTCTGACATTTAAAACCAGTCTTTATCCACCTGCCATACGACTTACCTGTCGAGACAGCACGGCGTCCTTTCTGAGAAGCGGTGGAACTAAGCATTTTTAAAACAAAAAACAAGCTCTTTGCAATTGTAAATACAATAGTTGAAAATGAAATCAAGTGGGTAGGTGGTGAAAGTAAAAGTTCACCTAACTTTCTTCTCCGTTTTATTATATATAAAGTAGACCTGACAAGAGTCCGTATTTAAATGTTTTAAGTTGATCAATGACAAGTTCCGGTATATTATGTGATTGTGATTTTGTTTTTCCGTCATAGTTTCAGATATGCCTTGAAATGCAACCGAAATGAGACCAAACTTTTAGATTTCCTAAAACCCCCTTGCCAGTTTAAGAGGGGGCTTCCGCTCTGCCACTAGAGTACGCTATACGACCTCTAATTACTCATGCATAGCATCACTACGGGTGGTTGACTTAATTCTGATACATGGTAAAGGGTGTAGAACCTTCTCACATGGGAGCAGTTTGATTAAGTACAGGGCGTGCAAGTGGCTGGTGGTGGCTGGTTTTGTTTTTGGTGTGTGTGACCTGTAACTCATCTTCAGGGAGTTCAAGGTCTTGTGACCATTAGGAGTTTCTGAGCACACAGGTGCTTAGCAAGGGCCAGTCACAGTGCCTTAAGTGCATTTTTTTATCTGTTGCGTATTAAGAACAACAACAATATATAGGAAAGTCCTGTGGATTTGAAGCTCATTTTCTGCATACAGAACTATCGTGACAAAAAGGGTTGTTTCCTAGTTCAAAATCAAGCAACAACTGTTACTGTGTGTGTGGTAGTAAAACTTGGTAAATCCCATGTGTGCAGTGTGAGAATGAAGAAATAATTGAACTGTACACTCCACACTTCCTATTTCCCATAGAAAGAGCTGTCACAGACATAATGGATGAGGTGCTGATTGTTTTATGTGAACAGCCTTCTGTGACCAGATGAATACTGGATTGAAACCAAACAAGACCTGGCATTTTCAGTGCGGACAAGCTTTAAATCTGTACCTATACAATGGGATTGCGGGCTTAATTTAGTCTGGGGGAACTGGCATCAGTATCTCCTCACAGTGCTGAAAAACTTTCCACAACACTTCAAATTCAGTTTAACCAAATTAATTTGGTGGTTTCATTTTATTGAACTTTTCCACGGACTTAAGTCTAAACTGTAATTGTCCGCCGAGCACAAGGAGTCTTGCTGTCTGACTGTAATTCTATAATGCAGGGGTTGGCTAGTACCTTCATCCTGTGCAAAATTCTGAATTCAGTTTCATTGCTCAGTGAACATGAGTCTACCGATTAGTTACCCCCTACCCCCTTGCCTCCTGAAATAGCTATCACATTTGAAGTGATGTGCAGCTATTGCAGGAAACAGTTAATTTCAATCTTAATGTAAATGAAAAAAAAAAACGTCTTTCATTCAGTATTGGATGCCTCTCCATGCTACTCTGGCAACAGCCTTCAGCAACATTCCTGGGTCGTTCAGCGAGCTTTGCTGTGCCTATAAGGTAGCAG